GGGAACAAGTATTTGATTGTCAATCTGTTATTTTTATTAAACTAATTTAATATGTGAACAAAAATATTGAATACACAGCTAGGGCTAAAGCAGCCTGGAGTTTTGAGGAGAGGACAAAGCTTTTTTTTATTTTTTTTTATTTTTTGTACCAAGGATCAATCGAACTTGGGAAATTGTGCTAGTGAGCCAGGAGGCAGAAAAACTGAACACAATCCCCAGCCCAAGAAACCTTTCAATGAGAGGCAATATTTTAGGAATTCTTATGTTTCTGCCATTATGATGTAGCAACCTTAGAAAGTCATGTTGAAGTAATAGCAGAATTCTCTACATGTGAGAAAAGGAAAAAATGATGACTGAAAATATTAAGAAACTTACACAAAGACAGAGAATTCATTAGGTGATAGAATCTAGACTGAGGTGTCCCTTTCTATACCATTTCTACGTTTAACTATTTCTACGAACAGCCTAAACACAAGGGCTTAAATTATACATAATTGGGAAGTGGATCTCAACCCACAAAAGACTAAGTAGCTTTTAAAAGGGAAATACTTCTTTAGTGAAAGTGCTAGTTTATTAATGGGATGATTGGGGGAATCACAGAAAAAAAGTTGACGAGCCCAAAACTTGAACAAAGTTTGGAAATTTTAGAATATTACTTGGAAGTGATTCCAATCTTACCTTTTGTATCCTTGATCTCTTTGCCTAGATTAAAGAAAGTTTAGCAAAAAGCTGGTCCTGACTCTTTGGTTCTGTTGGACACAGTCTACAGGTGCCCTCGTCTTACCTAAATACTTGGCCCTTATAAAATTTAGCCGGGTCTGTTCAAATTTCTCAAACGCCTTCTGCACATTATCTTCTGAACAAACATCGATGCCTTGTTTTTCTTTGTCAAGTTCCTGCTTTTCAAGTGGTCGATATCTTTGGGAGGTTTCTGTCAAAATCGAAATACACCTTAGTTCAGTTGAAAACCATAGCCCAGTGAAAACTTTCGGCCCTCCCTTTAAACGCAAATTTTATAATGTGAATTATCCTTGAATATATGTTATATTATATTGTACTTCCTCATATCTGCACTCTTCTTTTTTTGTACCTGTAGAGCCCTTTCAAATCCTTGAAATCATAACAAACTGCGTCAATCGATTCATTGTCACTCAAACTCTTTTTTATCTTGGGTAGTTTTTTTCTGGGTCATCCACTCTTTTGATGTTTTTTTGTACTCTTGCTCATAGCCCTTGATGATGATCATGATCTAGTGAGAATGTGTGCTCCAAGGAAAATGTATGATTTTGTCTAGGCAGCAAACACCTCCAATATAATGTAAGGTCATTGTTATGCTCTGTATTTTGTAGTTTTAAAGCATTCTGTCTGTCTTTCAATTCCCATAATTCTCTACACATCCTATCCTCAAATCTTTGTGCCTCAAGTGTTTTAAATACCTTAATATGTTGAAGTAATTTATGAATTAATGAATAAAGAAATGAAAAGCATCTGGAGTATTACTTTAAGACATTATTTTCAATCAAAATTTAGAACTAAGAATAATCGGATTACTAATCTTTCATTGTGATAAAATAATTTGCACTAGGGTTATTGTATTACTCCTTTGGAAAGCCTAAAATTGTATGGAACCATAGAATATGGATATCTAAAAATAAATCTTTTATTTTCAATTTGTAGATACACTTCAGGCAGGTAATATACGGGAAGACAGGTTTTCATGTCTATTCTCAATTTTATAGCAATAGTTATTCAAGCCTTCAAATGTCAAGAGAGCTGTGACAGCAAATGATACCTACCATCTAAAGGAAACACGCCATGACATTGAAAAAGAAGTTTGTCAAATGCGAAGGAGAACTAGGGAGGAAGGATGGAAAGGAAGGAAAAACACAAAAAAGTCAGAAAAAAATGGAAACAAAGCTTTTGTAAAGAAGAAGGGGAAGAGGGGTTGAAGGGAGGGCAGGGGAATAGGAAAAAAAGAAGAAGCAAGATATATCATGGACAGGTACACATTCCCTATGATGAATGTGATCATTCTGTGTATCTACAGGGTACCAGTAAACATAATTAATATTAAAAAGCAAAGAAACAGTAAAAAGAATTTTGTCACAGAATCAGCAGGTTCATCATCTATGTTACCTGGTTCCTTCTTTCAGTAAATGTTTATTTACTACTTATTATTAGACACATAGATGTTCTGAAACATGGAAAAAAGGTATATAATATCAATTATCTCATTGAGAGTTTAAATTTCCAATGCACCTTTTATGACTAAAAAGGAATATATCCAAAGAAATGTAAGTCATTATTATGTATGTCTCTATACTAAGTTCTTTACAAATATTCACATACCAGGCTGACAGAATAAAACAGTGAAATCATTGATTCCCTTTTAAGAAATTAAATAATGACTAAATAGTAAGAAGTAAACTATCATTAAATTGAAACTTGCCCTGAATTGCACAGATTGAGTGTTCATTCAGTTCTTTTGCCAAGGCCTATACAGGTAGTAACAATAGTTAATGGTTGCTGAGCTGCCATTGTGCCAAGCATCTTACTTGAATCTTCTCAGTGAAGTAGCACAACAACTTACCATAGTATCTCTTACACCTCAGACAAGAAGTTAGTTGAGTATTTTACCAAATTTTGTGCAATGGCAGAGTAAATAGTCATGAAATTAAATGACACTTGGTGAAGAGCTACTTATGAAAAACCAATTTAGATGCCTCACGGACTCAAGAAAAGATGGGTCAGTACTAGCTTGTAAGATCACAAGGCTTCACCAAAGAGGTGTTGGAGACACTGATCTTGAAATACAGTGTATGGATGATGAAAGAGTGTTGGAATGCAGTCACAATAGAGTTGGAATCGTGTACACATGTTGCAAGAGTTTCAAGCAGCACTGAGGGTTCTGTGGGAAATGAGCACTCCACCTTGGGTTCTGGGTTTTCACTCCATTTATTTCTATGCTCAAAGAGTTGTAGAGTATGGACTGAATGAATTATATGTGAAGTGATACAATAAGTGATAAAGTAAAGAGGCTAATAGCACTGTAATGGCATATCTGACAAACTCACAGCTGACATCATATTTTTTTTGTTTAAATTATTTTATTGGTACATTTTAGGTATACAATACATTTACATTTATCATTGGGTGCTTGTACCTGTATATGGTGTATCTTGGTTCTTATCTTTTCCCCATTACCTGTGCTCCCTTCACCCCTCCACCCTTCCCTATTTACATACTTCATTTACATTTTATTTCCTTTGTCATAATTTTTTCTTTCCATTCTTTCCTTTCCTCATCTCCTCCCACCACCCCTACACTTTTGAACCTTTTCCTATTTTAAAATATCAATTATTAGTTATTAATCCTTTGAATCCTTATTTACACTCTCAGTTTCTCACACTAGAGAAACTATTGGGTATTTACACATGTGTCTTATTTATTTCACTTAAGGGTATGGCCTCAATAGGCATCCATTTAGCCATAAATGACTCTAGTTTCTCATTCTTTGTGGCTGAGTAGTACTCCATTTTATTAAAAAAAACCCATATCTTCTTTTTCCGGTTTCCAGTTGATGGGCACTTGGGCTGTTTCCAAGCTTTAGCTATTACAAACTGTGCTGCAATAAACATTGGGTACACATATATCTCTGTGGTATGATTCTTTTTAATTCTTTTGGGAAAATACCCACCAGGGGAATAGCTGGGTCAAATGGGACCTCCAGCCCTAGTTATTTGAGGTATCTCCATACTGATTTCAATAGTGGTTGCACCAGTCTGCACTCCCACCAACAATGGAGAAAGGTTCCTTTCTCCCCACACCCCCACCAGCATTTATTGTTGGATGATTTCTTTATAACAGCCACTCTTTCTGGGGTGAGGTGGAATCGAAGTGTGGTTTTCATCTGCATCTCTCGAATGACCAGTGATGTTGAACATTTTTCATATGTTTATTTGCTATTTTTACTTCTTTGTCTGAGAAATGTTTGTTCATTTCAGATGCCCATTTTTGAATAGGGTCTTTGAATTTGGGGGGAGGGGTCTGATTTTTTTTTCCATTCTTTTTGTATTCTAGATAGTAGTCCTTTGTCTGAGGAACAGCTGCTAAACATTTTTTCTCACAATGTAGGTTGTCTGTTAGCCCTGTTGGTGGTTTCTCTTGCAGTGCAGAAGCTTTTTAATAAGATGAAATCCCAGTTGTTGATTCTTTCTGCTAGTTCCCCTGCTGCTGAGGTTTTGAACATAAAGTCTTTTCCGATGCCTGTGTCTTCAAGAGTTCTACCTATCTTATCTTCCAGTAAGTTTAGTGTTTCTGTCTTAATATTTAGATCTTTAATCCACTTTGATCTTAGTTTAGTGCATGGTGATATATATGGGTCTACTTTTAATGTCTGAGAAGTTGAAATTCAGTTTTTCCAACACCATTTATTAAATTGACTATCTTTCCTCCAGTGAGGGTGGGTGGCTCCTTTGTCAAAGATGAGGTGGCTGAGTATGTCTGAACTTGTTTCTGCATCTTCTAATCTATTCCACTGATCCTCAGGTCTGTTTATTTGTCAGTACGATGCCGTTTTTATCATAGTAGCTTTGTAGTATACCTTCAAGTTGGGGATTGTGAT